CGTCATCCAACTTGACTAATGCACATGTTTCCAATTTACAGAAAGACTCTTGGTTTCAAAATTGAAATAAGATGCCAGTACAGTAGAGGAAGTTCTAAAACAATCTCTATAATCCAAGTTTTTTGGCAGTTTGGGCTCCATCATGTTTCTCCAGCCAAGAAATACTTCCAAAGACGACGTTAGCTGTTATGTGTAGGCAAACAGCCTCACAGAGCCAGAAAGTACCTGACAGAATTCATTCCTTGCTGGACCTTTGGCTGTGGGTTCAAACACATGCCTTGGATTAGAGTCTGCAAGCCAAAAAAAGGGAAGGATCGTTGGGCTTACACAGCACCTTTCCCTGCTGGATCCCTTCTCAGCACACGTACAGAGGGAGAAAAAGAACATTACAACACGAAAGCACTGACAGATGTATGATAGGAAACTCCTGGGTGACAACACTGAGGAGAGCATCTCAAAGCCAAGGATAGAGCATGTCCCTGCTCTTATCACTGCTTCCTCCAGCACGATTCTGCATCTTAATTGGTGTGAATCAATCATCAGTCATCTTCCAAAGCACAAACAGCTGCCATTACACCTACTAACCATGCATCTGCAGCTCTGACTCGTACTGAGAAGGCACGAAGCAGTGCAAGGGATGAGTTTCGAAGATGCTGGAGAATTTTTCTTTATTCTAGCCTGACTCACACATAACCTTTGTGTTTACATAGGTTTGTGTCAATGTCACCAGTTTCCAGCAATGAAGAAAAAGCAGAAACTCCAAAGTGCTCTGTGGTTTAGCTTTTACAGCCTCTTCTCTCCTTCACTGTCACAGTGCACTTCTCAGCCCACAGTCAGACTCCAGAGATAAAGTGCTGTAGTCTCCTTTTCTGCCAGTGTACAGACACCCTGAGTGGAGCAGATATCCCATTACCTGTTGTTGTGCTGTATTACAAAGCTATTCAGCTTTTCTATTTCTTTCCAGCACGTGACCTCCACACTACTTAAAGACTCTTAACCAGCTCTACCCTGAGAAAGAAAGTGAATTCAATGCCACACAGCTAAGTCAGTCACAAGTAGGAGTACTTACATAGGTAAATAAATTACACTAGTGACAGCAGCAGTCTCAGGACCATCTCATTGGGCCAAACAACTGAACTAGCAAGTAAGTGGACAGTACAGGCAAGATCATCATGATTTGATCAGCAGCAAAAGGCAGGGAGACCTGAACTGGTATTAGCATGATGCTGTCAGAGGGAACAGGAGCTCTGCTCCATTTTTACATTCCCTCCACTCTAGAATTTGTGACTCACTACACAATGAAAAGGCTTTGCAGAGCACTGCAGTATGACTCAGATGAGAATACAGCCAGAACAAAGCTGTTCATATCAAGATATTTTCAACCCAAATGATTCATGGGAGGATTAGGAAAAGAACTGGTCTGATAAGATCCTCTGTAGGGAGGACTATGGAGCAAGTCCTGCAAGTAGCACATGAAGGCAGCTCTGACGGGACTCACCAGCATGCCAAACCCCTGCAGAAGAAGGATCACAACCCCAGTTCATTCTACATGGAGATTCACCTCAGTTCCCCCAGAAAAAGAAAACAACTGGCTGTACTGCTTGTTGTGGCAGAAGCAGAGCATCTGAAGGACATCAGGATACACATACATTTTTAAACAATCTAGTCCAGAGGGGAAGGATCTGTTCTGCTTCTCCTTGTCTAACCTAATGCAACAAGATATGCTGTGGAAGAAGATAAAGAGTAAGGTAATACCGAGAGAGAGCGTTTCAGAGCCCAACTCAGGTGAAGAAGGTATGCAGCCAAAACCTGCAGCTGCACTGATCTCAGCCCTTGGCAGCAGCACTGCCATGAGCATTTCTCATGCTCTCAGACAAAAGGAGGAAGCCCCAGTAGGTTGGTACACAATGGCTGCAGCCGCCTTGAGACAGCCCAGCACGCAGCAGGCGTCCCTGCTGCTCTGGCCAAGGGACTGCTCGGGACAGAACAGCAGAAGCAGCCATTGCATCTACATCCTGCTAGACATTCCCTATCACCCAGGGTCCCAGAAGACTTAACAAAGACCGAGACTTCAAAGGCTGGCAGCTCGTGCTTATTCGCCCTCCTTCAGAGAGGTGTCAGGGCACAATCGCTGGGCTGCTGCCCCAGGGGAACAGCGGCTTGGCATTACACTAATCCTGCTAGGCAGAGGTGCAAAGCCTCTTCAGGCAGCAGCCTCCTCACCTGCAGCAGCACGTGGCACTGCAACAAGTGACAGGACAACATGCAAACCCAAGCCACTGCATGCCACTTCTGGCTGGAGTGGGATGTTCAGTTGATGCACGATTTCCAAGCCCGTCACCAAAACACGAGGACAAGAAACAGGTGGGTATTTACTAAAAGGTGGCTAAAGAAAAGAGTTTTATAAGGAAAGTGCTGCTTTCCCGGGGTCACGGGTTGGGAAATATTTTCTAGAGAAGCAGTGAAGAATCAGAAAGGGTACATTGCTTCCTTCCTCAAAACACGTCAGAATGGGACTGGACAGTGAGCCCAGCTGTGTGGCTATTTATGACAACAGTCCAGCTACCTGATGAATTGGAGTCATGTAGTTTAGCAAAGTAATCCTTCCTTACTGCAACTAGGGACACCCTGCCCTTACCTGTCCCAAAAAAATTCATCCAGCATCCCCCCACTGACCTCTCCTCAGCTCCTGGGGAAATCAAATGCAGCATGTAGTTTAAAAGCTCATGCTTAAGCATCAGAGTATCAATCACTAATGGAATAGAAAAGAAAAACATACACAATTTGCATGAGTGAGACCTACAAAGTAAAGAAAAATAAGCCAAAGTTAAAATTAAAAAAAGGACTTCCTAATTTTGAGGATGTATATGATCTCACCTATTAAATATGAAAGGTTCCTAAAGATAAGGGAAGACAGTGCCAGCACAGGCTGCAAACAGAGCAAGAAGTACAAATTAATAAAAAAAAAATAAAATCTAGAATTCAAACCAAAAGGCCTTCAGAAGCATTTAAAGCACAAGAGAGCATTTATCATTACAGTTCCCAGTCCTGGATTAAGTTTCCCTGGTTCACTGCATTAGAATTAATCTATGTGCCTACGAACTCCAGAGCCAACTTGCAGAGCCACAGCAGCGTTGTTATATAACCACAGCACTGATAGCACAGGCTGCAGTGCTGGAGCCTGCTTGCTACCCCTCACCAACACCACAACCAGCAAAGCTGCTGCTGCTCAGATCATTCTCTTGATGACAGATGCCTCGGTAATCCAGACATTCGAGTTTGGATTTGATAAAATGTTTTCTTGAGAGCTGATGTTAAGACTTAAAAGGCCATCGACTGCTGTGCAAGAAGTCCTTAATGTCATCAAGGGAGGGGAGGCAGCTACACAGGAGGAGAACAGCAGAAGGCTTTAAGTGGGAATATGATTACTGTAGAAAAATTATCTGACAAACAAACACAACCCCAGATTATTGCTAGGAATGCTTTTAAGCAATTTAAGTGAAAACTGGTACATCTGCTGTCTATTCAAAAGGTCACCGAGTGCTTATTCCATGATAACACACTCCCAAGAAGATCTTCCAATGAACTCTTAACTTCTGATCTCCAGCATCGCATATCCCTTGTTTTAAAGGCAGCTACCCTCTGAGGTCATGGAAATACAGTTCAGCTGCTGTGCAGCGCTACATCTGCATGTGGCCATCTTGAACTCTGCTAAGCCAAGGGAACTAAAACAAATTAACAAATTGAAGCCTCAAAATACAAAGTCAGCTCAAAGTCCCTCCGATTTGCTGGTATAAAGATGTTTCTTTGTATCTACCCATGGCTCTTTAAACACATCCCTCACATTTTGCTCTAGCTTCAGTCCTCAGATCTGTTCATCTGTTTAGAACAAAAAGCCAAAATATACTGCTTCCTAAAGTATTTCTAATGCCTTCTACTTCTAAGATAAACAAGAACTGCTTAGATGCTTTAGCCTTCATTGCTGTGTGCATGATAGCAGGCTGTGTATATAGGACACTGCAAGTATGTTCAGAAAAGCAAAATGGTGTTTTCAAAACCAGAGACCGTGGCAAAACGAGGCAGCAGTCACTGCAGCTCTGTTCCAAGATGACAGCAGAGAACACAGATGTTGGAGCACACAGATTCACTCCACAATCATTTTAATTACATGCCTAGCCAACCAAGCACAGGATACAGGCTAAGCAGCATTAAAAAAAAAAAAAAAAAAAAAAACTAAACTAAACAAAAAAACCAA